GAGTAGCTGGGATTACAGGCACACGCCACCACGCCCAGCTAATTTTTGTATTTGTAGTAGAGATGGGGTTTCACCACGTTGACCAGGATGGTCTCGATCTCTTGACCTTGTGATCCACCCGCCTCGGCCTCCCACAGTGCTGGGATTACAGGCTTGAGCCACCGCGCCCGGCCCGAGACCTTAGTTTTTACACACCACCATTCAGTGCCCGAGGGCCTGAGCCCACCAGCCCACCTGCTGGGCAGGATTCTCGTGGGGTGAGGGCAATGTGCAGGCACTGGGACGTATTTTATTTCCTGGCTCCTTCCTTTTTATTAGGTTGGTGCAAAAGTAATCGTGACTTTTGCCATTGAAAGCAATGGCAAAAACCACGATTACTTTTGCACCAACCTAATAACATGTTCCAAAGAGAGCGTCCTAGGGATATATGAGGCCCTGGGCTAGATGGAGACCCACCCCTTCCTAGTCAGAGTGTAGACCAACCCGGGGGCAGTGACCAGCAGTCCAGACACTTGTTAAGGCCAAGGGAGGAGCTGCAGTTCAGTTGCCCGAGGGGGGAGAGGTCAGAGAGGGCTTCCCAGAGGTGGCAGTCTGTCTCCCTGAATTTGGGAGAATCGGCTAGGATCACAGACCTGATGAGGTGTAACCCAGTCTGTTCAACCAAGGAAGCTGCAGGGGATGGGGCCTGGCTCCTGCCCTGGGTGTCCCTGACCTGGATGGCTGGGGCGGGCGAGGCCTAAGGGCAGCTCTGTGGCTTCATCCCCAGTCATAGGGTACCATAAGGAGCGCTGGGGCTAGGCTGGGGACACAGGTTTTGAGGTGGGAGGACGGGGGGAGTTTGACCTGGCTGGGATGGGGGCAACTGAGAGGAGGGGGATAGGAAGTCTCATCTGTCCTTGAATTGAAGAGCTTCCTCCCCTCCCCTCCCCTCCCCTCCCCTCCCCTCCTCTCCCCTTCCCTTTCCTTCCCTTTCCTTCCCTCCCTTCCTCTCCCTCTTCCTCCTTTTTTTTTGAGACAGAGTTTCACTCTGTTGCCCAGGCTGGGATCTCTGCTCACTGCAACCTCTGCCTCTGGGATTCAAGCGATTCTCCTGTCTCAGCCTCCTGAGTACCTGGGATTACAGGCGCCCGCCACCACACCCGGCTAATATTTTGTGTTTTTGGTAGAGACGGGGTTTCACTATGTTGGCCAGGCTAGTCTCAAACTCTTGACCTCATGATCCGCCCGCCTTGGCCTCCCAAAGTGCTGAGATTACAGGCGTGAGCCACCGCACCCGGCCGAAAAGCCTTTCTTTTCTTTTTCTTTTTTTTATTTTTTTGAGACAAGGTCCCACTCTGTGGAATGCAGTGCCACAATGACAGCTCCCTGTGACTTCAAAGTCTTGGGCTCAAGCAATCCTCCTGTCTCAGCTCCCCGAGTAGCTGGGACTACAGATGTACACCATCATGCTCAGCTAATTTCTTAAAGTTTTTTTGTAGAGATGAGGTCTTTCTTTGCTGCCCCGGCTGGGCTTAAACTCCTGGGCTCAAGTAACCCTCCTGCCTCGCCTCCCAGACTTCCCAGCCAGAAACCTTTCAGAAGCTGGGAAAAAGAAAGTCACACCACCCATGCCCTGCGCCCCTGCCCTTCCCCAGCTAGACTCTGCCTTTTTCCATGGACAGGTAGTGCTGTCACTCCGTGGCTGGGCAGCTGTCTCAGAGCCTTGTCTGTGAAGAGGGTAGCAGTGACTGCTCCCTCAGTGAAAGTAAACTGAGTCCTCCCAGGGTGGGAATAGGGACGCCCCAGCTTGTAGAAAGTCACCTCTAGAACTCATGGACCGTGAGGGCAGTCATGGTTACCAATGGGGAAACTGATGCTCAGGGAGGGAGAGGGACTTGCTTCGTGCACAGGTTTTAGGGAGGAGCCAGGGCTGAACACTCTGGAGAGTGGAGAAGAGCTCCCCTCTAGAATGTGGCCTAGCACTGAGGCGGCCCCAGCATTCACTGGTGTACCCTGGGCCTCAGTTTCCTCACCTGTGAAATGGGGTGTTAGTAGAGGTGAAACGAGGCTGTTGTGAAGAAGGGGTGTAGCTCATAGGAGGCACTCATCAGCGCCGCTGCCCGTCCTGCCTCGTTACTCCAGACGTCGCTTCTTCACATCCCTACCTGGCACACTCATGGAATTCTTGTTGGTTGGTGAGCAGCGTGGGTACTGGAGTTTCATGCCCAGGCTGGCACAGTGCTGCTTTTCTGGCCCCTGGGGGCTCCCAGACCTGTGCCAGATAGATGAGTGGGGAGAGGGGCACTGGCATGGGGTGGCTGGAGCTCAGTCTGGCTGTTTCCAACTGCCCCCCTGCTGAGACTGGCCCGGTGCCTGCAGCCTGATGACCTCCCATGGGTCTGAGCTGTTTCTGTCTCTGTTGCCCACTGGCTAAGGGGCAGTTCAGTTGAGGGCAGGATGCAGCAGGACCTCTTCCTCCATCCCGACCATCAGCTGAAAGCATCAGAGGCCTCGCTGGAGACTGTGAGGCAAAATGATCCAAGCCGTGGGCTGGTGTGAGGACTTGGATTATCACCAGCAGACCTGGGGACTTGTGTCTGGAACCTCAGTACCAGGCACAGGGCAAGGGGCACACTCATGGGGCCTGTGCCCAGCCCAAAGCCACAGCAGAGCAGTCAGCCTCCAGGATGCCCCTGAGGCAGACAGCTTCCTGCCAGGTGGCTGGGTGGGCCTCCCAGTGTGTAAGGGGATGTCAGGGGCCCTGCCACCCGGTTCTTCTGGGGCCTCTAGGCAGGGGCAAAGCCAGGGCAAGGCAAAGGCAGCCGGAGCCGGCCTCACTCAAGCTCCCAGGTGAAGCTGTTAGAAGTGTTGTCCTCTGGGATTTGGTTGGACTTTGATCAGTTTTCCTCGGAGAAACAGCCATGAAGGACCTCTCTTTGCTCTGTCAAGCCTCCAGCAGAATGCCTCCCTCTGCACAGGCCTGGCCAGTGACCTCTGTGGAAGCAGGTGTGGCAGGCAAATCATGTCACCTCACTGCGCAGTTATGGGTGCCTGCCTGCTTCTCAGAGCTGTGAGCTCCAAGGAAAGGCCAGATGTCAGAATCTGAGAAGCTGGCCACAGAGAGCAGGGAGCACCCTGGCCCGTGCTGGTCTGAACTTTGGTCTCAGAAAATTGTTAAACTCCTCCAGACACACAGACGCCCCCAGTCAGAGTGACAAGGGGTTTCAGTAACAGCTACCCCTTTGCTATACAGTGGGGAAACTGAGGCCCAGAGAGGAGCAGCACACACCTCAGAACTGCTGGCCATCTCCAGAGCCCTTAAGGAGCCATTTTCTTTGTCATTTAGGGACCCTCAGCTCCTCTGCCATGCAGAAGTGACTGCAGTTCTGGTGCCAACCTGCATTTCCTGCCAAGAATGCCAACTCAGGTCGGCGGTAGCAGGAGACTGAGGCTGAGGCAGGGAGCAGTCAGGCAGTCATATTTATAACAAGGCCACCGCAGGAATCCTACTGCTCCAGGCAGGAAGGGATCCTGGGGCAAATCCCCCCACCCCCAGCCCGCCTCCTTGTGCTTGAGTCCTGGAATGTGGTGATTTCAACACCCCCATCCCCCAATAGCCTAGCCCTGTCGGCTTGGGGCTTGGACTAGTGGGTTCAAATCCTGGCGGGGTGCCCTGCTCTGTAGAAGGAGGAGAGGGTGGCGGCCTTGCAGAGTGATCCTGAGGACCACGTGAGTTCCATGTGCCGTGGTGAATAAGAAGTACGGTGCTCCACGCCTGGTCCCCGGGGGTGCCCCGCAGTCCATCCCTCCGTCGGGGGTGCAGGCAGTTGTGTGTCTCCTGCTGGCAGGAGAGTCAGGGGCAGGGTTCGTGGGTTCACAGCACCTCGCGTAGAGCGGGCAGGCTCTGGCTTGCCCTCTGTGGCTCCTTGCCTTTGTTTCTTCCTTCTTGCGTGTGAGAAAGATGTCCCGTTGTGTGCTGCGTCTCCTGCGGACAGCCTGGCACACAGTCGGTGCCCACATGACCACCGGACGCTGGAAACCTTCCCAGCGCCCACTGTGCGGACAGCAGCGCCCACCTCCCCACCCCAAATAACGCGGCGGTCCCTGTGCTTGTCCCGCAGACGCCAGCATGTCCCCGGACGCCACCAAGCCGAGCCACTGGTGCAGCGTGGCGTACTGGGAGCACCGGACGCGCGTGGGCCGCCTCTTCGCGGTGTACGACCAGGCCGTCAGCATCTTCTACGACCTACCTCAGGGCAGCGGCTTCTGCCTGGGCCAGCTCCACCTGGAGCAGCGCGGCGAGGCGGTGCGGCGAACGCGCAGCAAGATCGGCTTCGGCATCCTGCTCAGCAAGGAGCCGGACGGCGTGTGGGCCTACAACCGCGGCGGGCACCCCATCTTCGTCAACTCCCCGACGCTGGACGTGCCCGGCGGCCGCGCCCTGGTGGTGCGCAAGGTGCCGCCCGGCTTCTCCATCAAGGTGTTCGACTTCCAGCGCTCGGGGCTGCAGCCCGCGTCCGAGCCCGAGGCCGCCGACGGCCCCTACGACCCCAACAGCGTGCGCATCAGCTTCGCCAAGGGCTGGGGGCCCTGCTACTCCCGGCAGTTCATCACCTCCTGCCCCTGCTGGCTGGAGATCCTCCTCAACAACCCCAGATAGCGGCGGCCCCGGCGGACGGGCAGGTGGGGGGCCGCGGCCCAGAGACACAGCCCCCACGGACGAGCACCCCCAGATAGCATCTACCTAGATTTAATATAAAGTTTTATATATTATATGGAAATATCTATTATACTTGTAATTATGGAGTCATTTTTACAATGTAATTATTTATGTATGGTGCAATGTGTGTATATGGACAAAACAAGAAAGACGCACTTTGGCTTATAATTCTTTCAATACAGATATATTTTCTTTCTCTTCCTCCTTCCTCTTCTTTCCTTCATATATATATATATATATACACACACACACACATATATATATATATATATATAAAATGATACAGCAGAGCTAGGTGGAAGAGCCTGGGCTTGGTGTATGGTTTCTGAGCTATGAACGCGCAGACAAAAGCTAATACCAGTCACTCGATAATAAAGTATTTGCATTGTAGTTTTTTTTTTTTTTTTTTTTTTATATTGTCTTCTTTTTACGAAGAGGGGCAGGTAGGGTTTCAGCAGATTTCCAGCCCGTCATGTACCCTGAAACTTCACCTCAGTTTGCAAGTTTTACTCTTATTGGATAAACATAGAACAAATTGAAAAGCGAGGAAAGTCACATTTACTCCGAAGTAAACCAGAGAAGGTTCTGCTGTTCCTTCCTGCCCATGGCTGTGGTGTGTCTCTCGGATAGGGATGGGGGTGGGGAAAGGGAGAACACACTGGCCACTTTATCCTGGACAAGCTCTTCCAGTCTGATGGAGGAGGTTCATGTCCTAGCCTAGAAGGGCCCAGGCCCACACCCACCATCTTTGAGCTATGAGCAAGCCTGAAGAAGACACTATTGCTCACCACTTTGTGGAAACAGCCTGGGGAACAAAGACTGAAATGGACCTTGAACCCACCTGCTGCCTTGCAGAATCATCTCGAGCCCATGGTGAGTAGATTCTCTTAGGACCTAGACAGGCTATTTCCCACCCCCAGCCAAAAATAGCTCAGAATCTGCCCATCCAGGGCTGTATTAATGATCTATGTAAAGGCAGATGGTTTATTTCAACTTTTGTCAAAGGGAAAAGTCGAGGTTCTGGAAGAATAAATGACTTGCTCATGAGACAAAATCAAGGTTTGAAGTTACATCAAATTGTAGGACCAGAGCCATATCATTAGATCAGCTTTCTGAAGAATATTCTCAAAAAAAAAAAAAAAAAAAAAAAAAAAAAAAAAGAAGGTCTCCTTGGCCAGATAATGAAGAGGAATGTTGCATTGTATATCTTTTTTCTTGGACATTTATATTTAACATATTAAGTGCTCTGAGAAGTCCTATGTATTATCTTTTGCTGCATAATAAATCATCCCCAAACTTAGCAGCTTAAAATAACTAACATTTATTATCTCCCACAGTTTCTGTAGGTCAGGAATCTGGGAGCAGCTTGGCCAAGTGGTTCTGGCTCAGGGTCTCTTGTGAGGTTGCCATCAAGCTGTCGGCCAGGGCTGTAGTCATCTGAGTCTTGACTGGGTCTGGGGGACCTGATCCAAGCTCGCTCACGTAGCTGCTGGCAGGGTCCCTCAGGTCCCTGCACGTGGGCCTCTCCGCTGGGCCTTGCAGCATGGCTTCCCCAGAGCGAGTGATCAACAGCAGGGGTGAAGCTGCTGGGTTTTTGCTTTGTTTTGTTTTTTTGAGACAGGGTCTTACTCTGTCAGCCAGCCTGGAGTGCAGTGGCCCCATCATGACTCACTGCAGCCTCAGACTCCCTGGGCTCAGATGATCCTTCTGCATCAGCCTCCTGAATAGCTGGGACTACAGGTGCACACCATCCTGCCTGGCTCGTTGTATTTTTGGTAGAGATGGGATTTCGCCATGTTGCGTACGCTTGTCTTGAACTCCTGGGTTCAAGTGATCCTCCCACTTCGGCCCCACAAAGTGTTGGGATTACAGACACGAACTTCCATGCCCAACCTAAGCTGCTGTCTTCTGTAACTATATCTCTGAAGTGACATACCATCACTTCTGCCATACTTACTAGTCATACAAACCAACTCTTTACAGTGTGGGAGGGATCCCACAAGGACATGAATGCCAGGAGCGCCGCCACATCCTCCAAGAAGTCAAACCATTTAACTTTGTTTCCCAAAGTTATTTACCAATAGGCTGCCCCCCCCGCCCCGTAATTCTGTCCCCATACTGAGGCATGCCGGTGCTTCTAGGCTGACCACAGCTGGCCACGCCAGGTGCTCCGCACTGAGGCCCTGCTCTGAAGACACTCAGCAGAGATGTCCGTCTCACTGGAGTGAATATTCAGAGAGCTCTTGGTCTAGCGGCGGGCTGGGAGACACCTCAGGCTCACAGGCAGTTTGTGGGTGCACAGCCAAAAGGAATAAGCAACCGCTTCCGTGAGAGTGCCGAGGAGGGGAATCGGGAGGCCTGCTAGGAGGGCTCAGTGCTTTGACCTCTGGTCCTCACAGGACAAGTGAGCAGCAAGCTTGCAGGCTAAGGTTGGCAGAAGGCGCAGGAGCAGAGTTTGGGGGTGGCAGAGACCCGGAAGCAGGAGAGGCCAGGCTGCCCGAGTTCAAATCCCAGTTCTGCCCCTCGGAGTGACTTCAATGACTTCTTGACATGCTTTGGTGTTACCGTTTGTAAGATGGGAATAAGACTGTCTCCACCTCAGAAGCAGGTACGAATTGGGAGAATGAAGCACGCCACGCAGCACCTGTCTGGTCATCAGGACACGGCAGCTATCATTTTATTTATTTATTTTTTCAGGTAGAGTCTCACTCTGTGCCCAGGCTGGCTCACTGCAACCTCTGCCTCCCAGGTTCAAGCGATTCTCCTGTCTCAGCCTCCCGAGTAGCTGGGATTACAGGCGTGTGCCACCATGCCCAGCCAGTTTTTGTATTTTTAGTAGAGACGGGATTTCACCATATTGGTCAGGCTGGTCTCGAACTCCTGATTTCAGGTGATCCACTCACCTTAGACTCTCAAAGTGCTAGGATTACAGGCGTGAGCCACCGCACCTGACCCAGGTGGTATTATTAACACAGGGCCAGGGCTGGAAAGGTAGTTGGGGGGCCTCAAACACCAAGATGAGGAGCGAGGGTGATCTTCAGGGGGCAATGGGGAAGGTGAGCTGGTTTCTCAGTGGGCTAGGGAGATGAGCAGACCTGGGCCTCCTAAGGATCATTGCAGGGTCCCCTGAGCCCTGAACCCTTCCTGGCCCCCCTTGAGCCTGGTGCCCACCAATGCCAGTCTCCTGAGAGGGGCTCCTTGCCATTCCACTCCGCAATGCCTGGATGTGGAAGTGATCATTATGATCTGACATCATCGGGGGTTGACAGCCCCATTTTATTAGTGAGGAAACTGAGGCCTGGAGCAGGGAAGTGCTCACCTCAAGCCTGTAATCAAGGAGTGTGACCCAGGTTTCCTGATCCCACATCCTATCCCTGTCTGTCCCCCAGATTCTCAGAGGGCAACCAGCCAGGCAGAGATGGAGTCTCATTCTGTCACCCAGGTTGGAGTGCAGTGGTGCGATCTTGGCTCACTGTAACCTCCACCTTCTGGGTTTGAGTGATTCTCCTGCCTCGGCCTACTGAGTAGCTGGGACTACAGGCACCTGCCACTACTCCTGGCTTATTTTTGTATTTTTTTAGTAGAAACGTGGTTTCACCATGTTAGTCAGGCTGGTCTTGAACTCCCGACCTCAGATGATCCACCGTCTGGGCCTCCCAAAGTGCTAGGATTATAGGCGTGAGCCACCATCCCCGGCAGACATTGCCTCTCAGAGCTAAGCCTTACTGGCCCTACCCTGCCCTTCAAGGAAAACTCTCCTGGTTCTGCTGCCAGCCCAAACTCCTACACCCCTTCCCATTGCAACCCCGAGGCCCAAACCTAGCGTGGGAGTCCCGGTGCCTGTCTCCGCAGTCTGTTGTCCTGCCCTGCGCAGGCCTTGGCCCTTCTGTCTGAACTCTGCCGGCTCGTAGCTGGCTGCTCTGTGAGAATGTGCTTGGAGGAATGACTAGTGACACTAACTCACTGCTTGGGAGCCCTTACAGATAAAGAAGCCGATGGTGACATTAATGGCCATTTGTTCAAGCTCCCTGCAGGAAGGAGCAAGCCCACCCCGCCCCGTCTCAAACGCCAGTCTGGAGCTCTCCCCATGCCCTGGATGTGATTGGCTTTGTTGGAGTGGGCTTCTCCCTCAGGGGACAATATGCACACGTGAAAGACTGATTTCTGGGGACCCAGGGATCTCAACCTTGAAGCTATCTCCTGCTCCGAAGCTGAGGACTTCCCTGGGGTCCTCAGGTGGCCTTGAGTGTCAGGGAGAAGCCCTGTGGCTGCCTCCTTGAGGGTCTGAGAGTCCAGTTCCAGCCCCTCAGTTCACAGATGAGGAAACCGAGTTCTGGGAGTTGGTCTCCTGCTGAGTTCAGCCGTGGCGGGACCTGCCGTCCTCCCCATCTCCTAGTCTCATGGCTTCCCGGTAACTTTGCGGTTTTCCCTAGACCACCCAGGGATTGGGTGACTCAGGTTCCGACAGAGACACTTTCTAAACAAGCCCTGGGTCTTTGCAGAGTGTTGGGGGGAGCCCGGTCCCTGCAGGCCCTGGGAGGCAAGATTGGTAGGACTTACTGCCTCCCAAAACCAAGGTGATGCCCTAGGAGGATTCCCGCAATTGACTAGGTTTTTGGAGATGGGTTCGTCCCTATATTCTCTCCCATCCATTCCATATCCCCCCCCCACCGATCTCCGGCACCTTCCCCGCCTTAGTCTCTGGGTGTGTGTGTTGAGGGTAGGAATAGAGGGGTTGACCGAAGGAATGAGAGGAACAGATGGGAAGCAAGCATGGAGCCTGGAGATTTGGGGTTCTTGTCTCAGAAAACTGAGGCCCAGAGAGGGGGTGTGAGTGACCTGAGGTCACACAGCATGCACATACGTTATTCATCTCCGGAGGCTGCCATAGTTCACTCCCTGCCCATCTGTCCCCTCCCGAAAACTCCCATCCCACACATCGCAAGGAACATAAAAGCTCCAACTGCCTCTGGCTGCAGCCACCTTGTTCTAGTCCCCACCCTGCCACTCAGCAGCTGTGTGACCTTGGGCAAGTTACTTGACTTTTCTGTCTCAGTTTCCTCATCTGCAAAAGTGAGCAACAATTATATAAGAGTATCTACCTCCTAGGGTTGTTGGTAGGATTAGGTGAACTCGTGCCCGTCAGGCATTCAGACCTGGCCTGTAAAGACACTCATCAGGTGTTCACAGGTCTGACTTGGGGGCCTGGAAGGCAGCTCAGGGAGGTGGGCAAAGC